CTTCCCTGCTGTCCGCTATCAGATCGTCAGCGTAGAGGATGGTTTTCAGTGACCCCTCCATGAGTTCCCCTGCGATGACATCCAGAGTTGAAAAGAAAAGGAAAACGGGCTGAGGGCTGATCCTTGGTGTCCCAACCGTAATGTTTACCTCCTTTGTCAAGCCGTGAGGGGTGCGTACAGCTGCTTTACTTTCATCGTACATGTTCTTCATTATAGAGACCAGGTGTTCCGGATCGTTACGTTCTCCAGAGTACAGGCCTCTAAGCGCTCTCCAGAGTACAGGCCGAGGCAGGCGGTCGAATGCCTTCTCAAGGTCCAGGAAGGCTAGGTAGCAGGGTCGCCGCTTCTCTCGGTACTTCTCCATCAGCTGTCTGGCGATGAAGATGGCATCAGTGGTGGACCTTCTCGGGCATGAAGCCGAACTGTTCCTGCGAGATAATGACAAGTTCCTCTAGCCTTGTATTGACCGAGGCGCTCGTACAGCTTCATGGTATGGGGAGTCAACTTGATACCGCGGTAGTTGGAGCACTCCGTCGCGTCCCCTCTCTCTTTGAAGGTGGGGACGATTGTGCTGCTCCTCAACGCATCCGGCATCCTTCCCTTAGCCGTTACGCTGTTTAGAAGTATAGAGCCAACTCATCCCATGCTTTCCAAAAGCCTTCCATGCCTCTATCGGTATGTCCTGAGCAGCGCGATACCCAGGACATCAGGGCCGTAAAGACTGTGAGGAGCAGCAACAGGTATCAATGGTGGACCTTTCGGGAAGTTCGGATCCTTGGGAGGGAACTTTTTTTGCATTTCATGAGAAAAGTCTTTTTTCCTGGTCTGGAATAAACTCAAACGCTCGCTGATAATAAGAGCATTCTGACAATCAGGAATTTGCGTGAGTAATGAACTTTCTCCATAAAAAAATTAATCTTGCAGAGGTCGCAAGGAACCTGCCAATGTTTGATTACGGTGACTCCTTTGCTGATGAATTGTTTATATACACGGGATTGGCAGCTGAAATATCAGGTGAAGTGATGTGGCATGACGGAACTTCCCTGGACTCAGCTCTCCAAACGGATTATATTCGTAACGCTAGTCCGAAATATCCACAATGTTATCGAGTGAGTTCTGTCTCCGTCTCTCTTGAAACAAGCATGTTCGGAAGTGTAGTCATCATCTGAAAGTAGGTGGAAAGGAATCATGTATCAAAACAGACACTTCCGCTAGAGACGCAAGCGATACTCAACATGAACTGGCACCAGTCATATCAATTTTGTACCAGCCATACCATGTCGTTTGAATTTTTGTGCCCTTCAGATCACATATTCACAGTGGAACCCTTATTGAGCCATCATGCGATATTCAACAAAAAATGAAAGTACTTCTGTTCCCAACAGTCTAATTGTCATTCAGTATCGTTCGGTGCGGATGAGGGAGCGTGTTAAGCAGCGTTAGACTCAGCACAGTAAGGCTCGTTGCTGCGCTCCAACAGTGCATCGAAGCTAGAGGCGCGAACGTAGCCGCAGACTGCAGGCGCCAATTGATTCCTGTCCGCGAATGCTCAGTTGAAGGGCGCCGGCCTGAGTCTCGACAGAGTATGGGGAAAGAGGATGGTAGGTGAGGCTAGAAAAACAAACGACCGGCTCCCATCTATCGAGCAGTCGCGGACAGGAATCATTCGGTGTCAGCCGTCTACGGCTGCGTTCGCGCTTACAGGCTTGGAGCACTGTTGTAGTGGCAGCGCACCAACGCGCGTTACAGCGCAGCAAAGCGCGCTGAACGGGCCTTATGCCATGCGTCACCTTTCCATCACTTGTTGATCCACGCAAGCAGCAATAGTTAGTGGAGAACGAGCGCTTTTCGAAATGATGGGCAAGAAAAGGAACGCAATGCCGTGGCGCTAGAACCAGCGGTATCTTCACGCGGCGAACATCAAGCGGAGTCGTACACTCTCATTACTTCGCAGACAAGGCTTCAGTTATTGAATACAGGGGGGACCAAAAAAAAGTCACTTCGACCGAGTCACATATCAGCAAAGTTTTCGCAGCCCAGACAGAGGACGTGGATACGAGTACCAGGGCGGAAGATACCCAAGATGTTCCTCTATAAGCAGGAGCTGGCTCTCGCCCATCACCTTCATGTACACCAAAATATGAAGTCATCTCCAGTCGCAGCCTGACTGGAGAAGACCTTTGGAATCACCTCCAAACAGCTGCGAAACTTCTAGTATGGAGTCACCCATGGATAGCTACCTGGAGACCAGTACTCGATCTGGAAGACCTCCAACATCGAGCAGCTCCGACAACGTCGCTACGGTCTAGGACATCATCTTCACCGCAGTCGCCAAGGCGCGGTTGATGGTATGGACCGGGGTACCTGGAATGGGAAGACCGATATTTTCTTCGTAGACCCGGACTGAAGGTGAGCGCTGGCGGTTACATCAAGCAACTCGAGAAGAATATCCTCCCTACATGTCGTCGCCCGTACCTTCTTGGAAACTTTGTACTGCTACAGGTTTGGGTGCCACCACATGGAATCGAAGGGCGTTGGAAAAACTCTCGCCTACTTGGAATGGAAGGGCGTTGAGTACCTGAAGAAGATGAATATTCAAGTATGTCCCCTGACCTAAACCCTCTCAATTACCGGTTCGGGCGGAGCTCAACAAGGTGGTCTACAGTGGCCGAGAAATCAACTATCTCGCTGAAGCCAGGTACCGAATCACGGTTGCGTGGCAGAATCTCTCGACGGCGCTCCTCCAGAAGGCTGTGGCGGAGTATCATGATAGTATTTAATATGCTCTTCAATATGGTGGTAGAATTGTCCGATCAGAATCTAATGTAACTTACAATGCACTCAATGTCAAGGGGGAAAAGTGACTTTTTTTGGCCCTCCTGTACAGAGGATTGTACCCACGAGAGTTTCTCTCCACGCCTCGATATTAAGTGAGCGGAGAAACATTGTCAAGTTTTCAATGCACACGTTTTCTGTTTTCTTTTCAATATGAAAAGGTATGATTGGTAGAGTGAATAGTTGAAACCAAAACCATGCTAACTCTTTAGGTATTACTCAAGTGTTTTCTACTTTTCGTAAGTGTTTACAATATCGCCAATAAGAAGTGTTTACAATATTCCCCGATGAGAACCCGACGACCGTACAAGCGACAATTTCCATTTTTTCCTAATGCAGCTTCGTTTTTCACTGAAAGGCAGGCCTCGAAGGCGGAGTTGAGGCGAGTCAGAGGAGGAAGGAGAGTAGTCACTGAACCTATGTTGCGCTATAGCGTCCCTCCACAATTTTTTTGCCGCGAAACTGTTTCAAGGTTGCTCGTCGGACCCACAGTACCCTTCCGACGCCGTACTTTTACCTTCTATACCTGATCGCGGACAGTAAGTCCTAGACAGCGCGGAAAAAAATTGGTGAACCGTTCGCAATTTATCGTCTTCCGATTGGCAAAGTTTCAGATCACAGTGCAGGAATATGGGAAAACAGCAGAAGCATTCCTGGATTGTAGCAGACTTGAATCCGATTCTACTATTATATTGCATGCGAGAAGTGAGAATTGTCAGTTTTCGGAATAAATTTTCTGCTGTGATGTGTTACGCATGCGCTACGCAGTGGGTGAGAAGCAAATGAGGCCAATAGAGACGTTCTGCCATTTCCGAATAAGTCGCGCCACTGCGGTTTTCAGCATACAGGGGGGCCAAAAAAGTCACTTTCCTTCCTTGACTTTCGAGGCGTTATAAGTTACACTTCATTGAATTCTGATCGGACATTTTTACACCATATTGAAGAGCATATCAAATACTATCATGATACTCCGCCACAGCCTTCTGGAGGAGCGCCGTCGAGAGATTCTGCCACGCAACCGTGATTCGGTACTGGCTTCAGCGAGATAGTTGATTTCTCGGCCACTGTAGACCACCTTTGAGCTCCGCCACGAAGACGGTAATTTAGTGGCCTTAGGTCAGGGGACGGCCTTAGGTCAGGGGGCGACGACATGTAGGGAGGATATTCTTCTCGAGCTGCTCGATGTAACCGCCAGCGCTCACCTTCAGTCCGGGTCTACAAAGAAAATATCGGTCTTCCCATTCCAGGTACTCCGGTCCATACCATCAACTCGCGCCATGGCGACAACGGTGAAGATGATGTCCTATGGGAGACGGTAAAGAGGATCGTAATTCGCCGCACCGCCACGCGCGGCGATGGGCGCGGCGTTTTCATAACTCGTTTTAACCTGTCGAATGAAGCACCGGACTTCATGTAGACCCCGTCATCGTAGACACTCATTACTGTTTTCGGTCCTTAATTGCATGTTGTCGCCATCTACTGCCTGAAACCATCGTCCTTTGCGGGCGGGACGTCGCACGCGACGCCCAGCAGCGCGGCAAATTACGATCCTCTTGTCACATACCCATGTCCCATACCATAGCGCCTTGTTGGAGCTGCTCGATGTTGGAACTCTGTACTGGTCCAGGTAGCTATCCATGGGTGACTCCATACTAGAAGTTTCGTTTGGAGGTGACATGAATTCCAAAGGTCTTCTCCAGTCAGGCTGCGACTGGAGATGACTTCATATTTTGGTGTACATGAAGGTGATGGCCAGCTCCTGCTTATAGAGGAACATCTTGGGTATCTTCCGCCCTGGTACTCGTATCCACGTCCTCTGGCTGCGAAAACTTTGCTGATATGTGACTTGGTCGGAGTGACTTTTTTTGCCCCCCCCCCTGTATAATGTGCCGATACTTCTGGCTGAAAAGACTGGTTGGTCCCTCAGAGGAACGCTGGGCGATTAGATACGAAGTTGCTCTCCCTCTGCGAGCTCTCCCACTTGTACTTCTGTCTGGCTTCACTAATTCAGCCTTCACTTCCCAAAAAGCACTTATTTCACCACTCTTATCATTTCATTCTCCTCCTGCGGGAACATTGCAGTACTTTGCTTCTCAAACATACCTCAAAGACGACAAACGCTATTGTTGAACCACTGCATGCTACTGAGGGTGGCGTGACGATTTTCAATAGTTCTTGCTATACTTGCCACGTTTTGGCTGCCTGCTGTCGAGCAAAAGTACGCACATCGCTGTGATATTTGATGATATCGATCGGCATGTTTGAATATGATTGAATACGTCGAATGGCCTGGAGTGCAATGAGAAGGACACACCTACCTGATATTCATATCAACCAAACGTCTGCCTTGAGGATAGCAAGAGGAATCCAGCGCGTGTTGAGGATTAAAGACGGCCTGCGCCTGTGGAAACGCTAACTTCTACGGATCATCCAAGAGATCAGAAAGAGGGAACTTACCTTCAGAACGCTTTCCCGTCCTACCATTTGTTGCGCGAGGATAGCAGGATTAGTAATTTTGTGGATAAATTGACACCTAAACTGTTCTGGTAAGAACGATACCACTGCAGAGTACGCACACTTCACAGAGCCATTAACCTCGAAGATAAACGAGCCTTGAGTCGCGGAAAACAACAAACCTAGCTCCATATTTACAGTATCCAGTATTCGAAAACTCACAAAGTAATGATTTTATGGAATGACTACGACCGCGAGGCTAAAACAAGTATAATCCTGTCCTTGATCATAATTGCAGAAATCATTACCTGAGCAGGAAGACGAAGCTCATCGACACCATGAGCGAAACGACAATCTTTACCGTAGCTGCATGTCTGGGTACGACTGTGCGACACACACAGGCTGTCCTGTACGCATCTTCCTGAGATGAAAGACGTTTTGCTAATAAACTATCCCGGAGAGTCCTTCAGCGAATCTCTCACATTCCACTGGCGCACACTTTCAAGCTTATTTGCTGAGTCTAATTGCGCCAATGGGTCAACCTAACAAATGGCAGAGTTAGCAGAGCACAAACGACAGAGTCGCGGCAACCTAGTCACGCAAAGCATACAGCTGCCCGACAAGGCTTTTCTCAAAGTGTTGTTGTTGTGTCCCTCTTTCTCTCGCCTGCAGATTAAAGCACATGGTCCTACGGAAGATCTGAAAAGAGTACCTTGACATCCCAGATGCCTCCCATGAATACTGCACAGAACAAGTTTTCGATGGGTGCGAAGGGATCCGTAACATGAAGAAGGATTGCAGAAAGTTCGAAATACACCAAGAAGCCGACCACACCCTGAACATACATAGAACTTTCTGAAACAGTTCTAGAATGAGTTCGAATGAAAAGAAAGTATGAGTTTAATGTAGTACGGACAAGGTCTACATTTAATTATATGGGAAACGTACCAGTAGACCAGATCATGAGGTGCCGTAATATATGCGCTGTTCTTCAAAGCAAATATAACCGAAGCAAGAAAGCAAGCCTTCGTCGCAAATGATGGACGAAGCGCTTCGTTATGATTCGACAGCCAAATACCACGTACCAGCTGGAGTGGAATTTCATGCATTTAATTACACAGCAGATGTACGCATGTAAAACAACTGACTTGCTCGACCATATTCTCGAAATTCCTGATCCAGCACCCTTCCCCGTTCCTACGAGTACTTGCACGATGTAAGAGTTAAGAGCTTGGATACAGCTTCGCGGCATGCGATACTCCATGAGTCAATAATAATAGTTGAAATTGAGATGAAAATTAAACACCTTTGGGAAAGGAGTTTTTGCAAATTTGGTAGACAGGAAATGTGAAAGGAATAATGAAATTTTATGATGTGATGATGATACATGATATAAGCATGATATAACACAATAAAACTTTGCTCAGAAAACCGTAAAAGAGAAATGCTACACATAGAAGAAAGAAAGGAAAATAAAAAAAATGGAATTGTTTGACAGCTAATGAGGTATTTTGAAATTCGCATACGGCGCAACTACGTTCCAAGCGACAAATGCGCGAGATTTTGCCGTCGCCACCTTCGCGTCGTCACAACGGACATGGGACTTTGGAGGCCGTCTTGGGCGTAAGGGGGACGCCAATAGGCCTAAATGGCAGGGTTCCCCGCGAAATCCTGCAGTTTTTCGACTTTTAGGAGTGCCACTTATCAGGCCACTACAAATCGCTGAGGGATCATCTGGCACATTCTTCTGATTTTCGCGGAAAGTGCCTTAAGAAAAAATCATGTTACTTGTTCTACATCTCTGTATACAAACCCATGTATTTAGAGCTAGCTTTAGCGGTCGTACATGATCCGCGTATTGATGGAGCGCGTGAGGAATGAGTTGGTTGGAATCACTGAGATAGTTATACTTACTTAGTGATTTCGATCGCATTGCTGCTGTGAGCGATGTAGCGGATTTTCCCATGTTAACTTGTCACTCTCAGCCCCTATCATTTGTCATACCACCCTAAATCGCTTCTCGAAATTACGCTCTCACCGTTGCTGTAACTTGCGCTGCGAATTTGGTGATCCTCCCCTTTCGAGGCCTTATCGGATCTTATCAACTGTTATCACTTTCTGTCACCCGCCAGTAATGTTCCCATCCCACACCCTATGGCACCTCTCAGATCCAAGGTCCCAGTGTTGCCGTAACCTGCGAAAACGAATTTGGTGACCTTCCCCTTTGAGGCCTCTTATCAGATCTTATCAGTTGATATCCTCCCCTGTCGCCCACCAATAATGTTCCCATTCCCACACCCTATGGCACCTCTCAGATCCAAGGTCCCAGTGTTGCCGTAACCTGCGAAACGAATTTGGTGACCTTCCCCTTCTGAGGCCTCTTATCAGATCTTATCAGTTGATATCCTCCCCTGTCGCCCACCAATAATGTTCCCGTCCCACACCCTACATCACCTCTCGGATCCAAGGTCCCACTGTTGCCGTAACCTGCGTTACGAATTTGGTGACCCCTTCTGAGGTCTCTTATCAGATCTTATCAGCTGATATCCTTCCCTGTCACCTGCCAATAATCTTCCCGTATACAGCAGCTGGACGGTCGCTATAAATTTCGTGACAGACAGACGCACACACACTGATAGACAGACATACCCAGCGGATTATATATAGTAGGATCGATCCTAGTTCCATGAGGGCTTATTGCAGCTTTTGGCCTGAACTGGAATTTTTTGCCACATCAAAAAATCTTTCGATGATCGCAGGTGTGGCTCAGGGCTATGAATGGCCGAGCGTACGAGAGCCACTCCTGTCTACCCCCTTTTAACGAGTTTTCGCGAAATGGGATTTTGGCCGTTATCTGGAAAATGTTCATCTGCGCTGCGACACCATTGTCCCACTATGCACTGCCGCGTGCGTTCGCGAAGAGTATTTAGTCTGAGAGTTGACGCAACAGGTCACAAGTCGTTGCAATAGATGTTAACTTGGACGTGTCTGTAGTTATTTGACGAATATTGCTGACATACATAATGCTTTAGTGATTTCCGCTTCTGTAAAGCGGCCCTTTTGAATGCGAGCTGCGCCGCAACCGCGCGCGCCAGTAGCCAGCAAGGCACACATCCAGTTACGACCGCAGGAACTGAATCGTGAACCGCACCAAACACCTTGCGAAAATATGGAAAAATCCCTCTCGATCAAAAGCAAGTAATCGATTCATCGACTTCGAAAAATCGATTTCGAGAACAGCACCGATGTCAGTTAGCAATCGATTAAAAAAAACAGTCAGTGGAAGAAAAGGCTGTAGGTAGAACCATTCATTCTATGCCTTCTCACACCGCCCAGAGCGATGATATCAACTCACGATGATATCAGTAGACGCGGACCCTCAAGCGAAGTGGACTTCTGACCAAAGGGGCCGTCCTCAGTGTATGGCATGTTTTATGAGTATGGCATGTTCTAGAACAGCTCAAAGGTTCGTTTATGTCGCTTGTCTCGCCGTACGGTTTTGGGTATAGAGCGCATTTGTAATATTGGGTCATCTCATTTGAAAAGGTGGAATGTTTATTC